TTCAGGGTGAATTTTTCCTTTAAAGATCACATTGATTTGACTCATTTTTGATCACAGATGCCCACAGGTTGCTCGCAGAACACACAAAAACACTGCTTTGTAGAGTGCTCATTTGCATACAGACTGGTATTGTATAAACACAGATGATGTATTGTGACTTTTTCTCTGGTGTTTGTACTGGAAACAAGTATGGAAGAAAAACATCAGCGTTTCTTAAAGACATTATAAACTGATTCTCTCTGGTGCTCCCGAAACAAAAGAAAAATGAACAAAAGTACATATATGAATGCTTTCTGATTAGTAGGCAGCTCTTTTTCCTGACAGTGCATCTACATTTTAGTGAACTTCCTCATTTTCTGATGTTTGGCTCGCTTTTTGATGTGAAATTCAAGTGACCACATGGAGCTGGAATGCACAATATCCCCGCACGCTGTGATTCAAGAATCTGAGCGAGTACTATGCAGTGCCATGTGAAAGTGATGGCCAACACAAAGAACTTGTTATTGTCATTGTGTTATCGCCGTCCATGCCTTGGACTCGTTGTGCTCCTGCCACAAGAGGAAATTCCAGCGACGCAAGAATCTGCAATGCAAAGTGATTGTACCAGCTTGACAGTGTGTATGCGAAGCAGTAAACCCGTAAAGAGTCCCTCTGAGCAGTGAAGACGGAGAACAGTGAACGTTTTTGGACAGACATGAACCCAGCTTGCTTGGCACAAAGGAATGCACGCGATGTGTGCATGTTAAAATGCGTAGTTGTGTAGTATGCTTGTAGGGTTGTTGAAAGATGCCACAGTCGTGAAGTTGGAGAAACATTCTTGTTTCTTCATATACTAAAGAGTTCATCTGAAGTGTTTTCATTTGTTATTCAATTTTTCGTTTTTTTTTTTTTTTATGTTAATGCATTTGTATTTTTTCTGCACTGTGCAACCAACGGATGCAGTGCTCATTTTTCTCCTCCACATCCTCACTCCTTGACCTCGTAGACAGCAGTTCAGTTGCTATTATAGTTTTTCGGTGAGAACCTAGTAATCTCTAACAACAGGTTTGACCTGGCCTTGAAGTTTTCACGGCCACTGAACGCTGCGTTTTCTAGAGCGGCTAAGACAACACAAACACCATCTTTTAGCTTGATTGCCTTTTCATATGAGCATACAATAAGACTTGATTTCCGGTTTGATATAATTCAATCGACATGATAAGAGTTTAGAGTGTAACACTGTCTAAAGCAATGCATCGCTGCAATCTAATTCATCTGTTATGAAATGGCGGAAGGGATTCATTAAATTCTTGTCACCACACTGCAGTTACTTACACCAAGCGATGTTGAATTCTTGATTCTGATTGGTCAGAGAGTGTTGATGAATTTTCAGTAACAGAAGCTCTGACAGTAGTTCTAGCTGGAAGGCAGTTCGCAGGTTTATATTAATATTTATATTAATGCATTCCTTCTAATACGTTATTGTTTCTATAGTAATAGCTTCTTCGCAGGGATTTATATGGCGAGCACTCCATGTAATGGAAGATTAATAATAAATCGATTAAAAAACATTTTGTTATTTAGCAAAGAAAAATGTATAGCTGTTGATATGGTGAAGCTTTCGCTAAGATTTTTTGGAAGGAGTCTCCAGTGTGAGCGCTTTGTAACGGTCAGCAAGTTTTTCACCACGGGAAAGTCTAAGGACAAGGACAGTTTTTAACAAACTGATTTTTAAAAAAAAAAATCTTATTAACTTCAAGAGAACATGAGGGAATGACTTTCTATAGCTGCTGTAATGTAAGTGATAACTTGTTTCATGGATGTTCCCGCACATTAAATGTAACTACAGATGGGTAAAGCTTTGTCGAACGTGATGATAAACAAAGGATTAGGCCGTTGCCTTAGTGAAAGTTTATTAAGGCGCTGAGAAAATTAGTTTAGAAAACTGACTTCCGGTCTGGAATGCTTGTTTGTGTTTTGATGTGCCTCCTGTCAGTCCAGATCCTGGGGGCGGACCTTTGTGAACATGGCAGTGATGGGGAGTGACGTCAAGGAGTTAAAAAAATATATATAAACCCACCTAACCGTTAGAGACCTCATCTTGAAAAAAAAAAATTACTAATCTTACCTAATGCACCTTTTAATAAATAAAAAAAATGCAATCTTTGCTAAACTGCTGTGGTATAAGAGGAATAAAACACTTGTTAAAGGGAAAATAATCAGCTTTGACCTGGTAACGTTAACTCCACTTTGTGTCATGATCTATTCCTTACATAATTATTGCTTGTATTTATTATATGCTTCTAAGCAAATTACTGTGAATATGTTTACAGTATAGCTTCAATTTTGTCTCCATGACTACATTAAATCTTTGGGGTGAAGGACATTTGTCTAAGGCCTAAAAATCTCCACATCCAGGGAGAGAGTGCATGAACCTCACCTCAACACCTCACCGAACGTGATTTATGATTACATTCTTATTCAAGACTTTATTTCAAGGTAAATACTAATACTAAGAGTTTCTTGATTTTCAACTTGCAGTAGCCAGATGAATGGGGCAGTAAGGTGTGTGTATTTTTTCTTCAGTGAAGGGACTTTGGGTCATCATTGTTGTGTTTTCTAGTTGGTACAGATGAGTATGAGTTTTAGAATAAACGTTTGCTTGGTAATAACATTTAGCTGTGTACATACCTTTTTGCCTGAGTGATGCAGTTTGTAATGTTCTAAATATATATTCTGCACCAATGACTCCGTTCCAAAAATGGTGAAAGGCTTTATATCTTGAGGCTTGTACCATTTTATTTGTGGTCCAGACAGACGTCTGGACGTCCCCTTTTTGTTTGACAAAACCAATTTAGAACTTGCTGTGGGGTTTTTCATTTATCTTATATGAAGATGTTTTCGAGTTTGATATAAACAATGATTTCTGTTGAACCCACTAGGCCAGATAAGCTACCAGGCCTCACAGACTTTTGCCTCCGCTTTAATTTGTTTTCTCCCTTTTTTTTTTTTCCAAGAACGACTGTAAAATACTAGTTTACTCAGAACAGCGTTTCCTGTGTAATTTTGAGATTGCCAGAGGTGCATAAAGACTGCACTCTGAGCCGTTTCAGTGCTCTTTCCTACAGAATTCCCTCAGTCTCAAAAAGCACTGATCTGTCTGAGTATTTTGAGCCGCTGGAACGAGCGTTTAAACAAAACTAGTAGGCTAAAGTGGGGGGTTGGGTTACGCGTTCTCTAACGTGGATCTGTTTACGTTTGATGTGGCGCATGTTTGTGGGTGGTTTCTATGAAACATCAAGAGTGAAAACCACTGGCTGAATGCTGGGTGTCACCAGTGTGTTGGAGTGTGTTGGACCAGCTGTTTAAATAAAACCTACCATTCTACTGGATGGCTGAATAGTTCGTCCTAACCTGCAAACTCACAAGTTATCCTCTGAGGATAACTCTTTGTAACAGTTAAAGCGATAGGATGTAACTTGTTTCCCGGAATGCATACTACATCCTAAACAGTGTCAGAATGTGGTTGCTCAAGTATTCACGTCTCATTATGGTCATTCGACATTGTTATTGTCAGCGAATTTGTTACGTTATGTATTAGGAAAATCACAGCGCGCAGAGCAAGTAGTAGCAAGATGGCCGGTGGACATTAGCTAGCAGGCTAAAAGCGCACACACACACACACACACACACACCTGAGGTCTGTTTTTCAAAGCTTAAAATGCTCTCCAATTTTATACTGACTCCAGGCCAACTGTTAGGAGCATGAAGGTTGGTGGTTAGCATCCACTGCCCAGTTTCTGACTCTACTTCCTTCCTGTTGGCTATAAAATGAAACGGAATGCTTGGAAGTTTTGGGAAAAGCAGAATCTCAACCCTGCATTTTAACCCGTAATCACACATTATGCTTTTTTTTTTCTCTAAAGCAGTACTCAGTTGAACGCAGAAAGCAGTGAAAGGTGGTGGAGTGTAGAGTGCCCTCCAGAATTTCTGGCACCCTTATTTTAAAAAAAGAGGATTGTATAAAATAAACATTACACACAATAATTTATATTTTTCCGCTAAAACATTCGACCAAAAAAATATATAAAATCTCATTAGAATGATGTTTTTAAATAGTATTTTCTCTCAAATATGTACTAAAATTAGTCACAACACTAAGTTGTTTTGTAAATGAATACAAACAAGTTCTCATACTTGGAAAATGTATTTTTCGTTTGCTCTCCGTGCCCAGGAACTCCAACTGTTTCTCTTTTAAACACATCCTGTTTCCCTGGGGTATAAATATGTGGTTGCACACATGTAAAATCGCTTTGTTATCCATTACCATGGGAAAAACAAAGAACTTTAAACACAAAAGAGACAGATGGTTGCTGACCTGCACAAATCAGTTCATGGATATAAAAGAACCTGAGCAGTTAATAATACCGTTAAGCACAATTAGGACCACAAGAAAAACCTGACACCTGTCTAAAACAGTTGGAAATTTACCAGAAATTTCCATGACCCATGAGCAACAGTTTTAAAATGAACTGTCACATGCCATTCTGACATCAACAAACAATAAAGAAACACGGAGAGCAAAACTCACAAAATGCCGCACCTGAACTTTTCCAAGCATCATTAGACCTACAATTTGCATAAAGTGTTGTTGTCAGATGAGACCGAAGTCCAGCTTTTTGCTCAGGCCTTCAGCATTTTGCCAACAAAAGGGAACTGAATACAAGTATAAGTATCTGATACCCCACTTTAAACTATGGTAATGGATTATTGATGATTTTGTGGCTGTTTTGTGGCTAATGGTTTCAGGATTCTTGTGAATTCTGCTACCAGGATATTTGGGGCCAAAACCCGGTTGCCTCTGGCTGGAGGTTTCAACAAGATGATGAGCCAAACATACTACATGAAAATCAGTATTTTTGCATTGACCACCTCAGTGTTCAGATTTGAACACTACTGGGAACCTGTGGTCTGAATAAAAGAGGGAAGACCACATTCACAAGCAGAACATTATAGCTTAATATAGCTTGGCCTAATGGTTAGAGAGTTGGACTTGTAGTCCAAAGGTTGCGGGTTCGAGTCTCAGGTCCAGTAGGGATTGTAGGTGGGGGGAGTGAATGACCAATGACCAGCGCTCTCTGCGACTGAGGTGAGACCCTTGAGCAAGCCTGCCCACTGCTCCAGATGTGTCTTCACGGTGTGTGTGTGTGTGTGTGTGTATGTGTGTTCACTACTGTGTGTGTGCACTTGGATGGGTTAAATGCAGAGCACAAATTCCGAGTATGGGTCACCATCCTTGGCCACAAGTCACTTCACTTCACTTAAAATGTTCTGCATGGAGGAGTGGACCAAGACTTCCCAAAATATAAACTGTAAGGATTCAATTCCGATAATTTCATTTTCAGAGTTTTGTAGAAGAAATTGCACTACTTGTCACAACCTGTCATTAAAAAAGAAAAAAAAAAAGTTAAAATAATAATATAAAAAAATTCCTGTACAAGCTCAAGATATCACTTATTAAATGTTTTATTCATTTTGCTGATTTTCATAAAGGATGCCAGTAATACAGGAAGGCGCTGTGTGTATACAGAAACCATTTTTACTTGGTTTGGTCTAAAGATGTAATCTGAGAGAATGGTACTGCTGTGTTCTTGGGCTGTGTGCCAGAAGAACCTCACAGACTGCACCCAGTAGTCTCTCAACAGAGTGCCCTGTGTCCCAGCGTAGCAGCCCGAACACTGTGCCAATAATTGAGGTAAATGACCTAATTATTCTTTACAATCACTGGCCAATGGTCATATCCTGACTCCGTAACCTAGGGAACAGTTGAACAGTGAAGAATCATCCCACTTTTTCCTCCCCAAAGACTGACTGTGTTCATGGGCAGTAGAGCAGTCTCTCAGTAAGCCGGAGCTCACAGCCTGTGTGGGCCGCTATAAACATTTTATTGAGGGAGGTTAGGTTTGATCACTGTTTGAGAAGATAATGCTAACCTCATGAGACCCAGCCATTCATTTTTGTCAACTTGGGAGGATCGCAAATGCCACTCTTTTGTGTTCCATCATGCCTTAAAGAGGAATTTTATAGCTCTACAATGATATCATATATGTTGCATTGAGATGTGAGTCAATTTTTATTTTTATTTTAATTTTTTTTTGTGTTTGCACAAAACAGGCATCCATTCCAACAGGACATTTTACAGAAAGAAAAAGAAATTAGTTTTTTAGCGTCAAAACAGTTTTGTCATCTAATATCCCATTTAATGAGTAAGATATATAGGTTCACTCAGACGTGAAAATTTTGGGAACAATTTCATCGACATTTACAAATTGGATTCGCTGACCCTTTTTTAAAAAATTTTTTTTATATATATATATATATATATAAAAGTAAACTTAATAAACCTAAATTTGTAGGAGAGAGAGACAGAGCTCTCAGGAGGAGAGAATTTGCTGAGGGAGCTTGTGGAGGACTTGTCAGGTGAGGAGGATCCAAATATAGTCTCTCTGGTAATCTTGTAAGGCCAGATGTGAGCTCTAACGAGAATACACGTCTGGAGACTGAAAAGGTGCCCACACCCACAGGCTTTCCCTATAAAAAACAGCCCCGATTTCCTGTAGCTCACGCACTTTTAACGGCTGGAGGACTAACGCATCAGTGCGGTTAATTCTTCAGAATGGATGCTTAACTGATCTGTTTTTACCTTGCAGAAGGTACTGTTTGTTTTCACTGCAGATGTTCTGTTTGGCTTGAAGCACTACAAGAGAGAAGCTCATCCTGAGAGCATGTCTCACACAATGCAGCACCTGAACTTCATCAGGCGTTATTAGGGCTACAATAGGAAACGTGTGTTGCGTTCAAATGAGACCAAAATGAAACCTGTAGATTATGTTCACCAAACATGCAGATGGTGAACACAATCTACAGGTTTCTTTTTGGTCTCATTTGAACACAGCACACGTTTCCTATTGTAGATACTTTTCAGCCCAAAACCTGGATACCTTTGCCTGACTCGGCCATAGATAGAGCTTTCAACCAGATGATGAGCTTCACATACTTAAAAATCAACACAGAAATGGTTAAAGATACACAAAATTAATGTTTGTTTTCACCAATGTTTAATGCCAAACCTCTAATTTAAACATTACATCAGCCAAAATAAATATTTTGAACAATTTGTAATCAATCTGCACGAGCTTCTGGTGTTGTTAAACACATTGGTAGTGCAGAAAAGCTATAGGAGTTCTGTTGGATAGTCCAAAATAACTATGTATATTAAGTAAATACATTTGTAGACTTTAATAAAATTGTCATGGAGCCTGTTTTCACAGGGTTTTCCTGCTGTTTGCTCGCAAATGTAATTGATCTGATACTTTAAGTATTGGGATATGAAATATATTTGCCATAAAGTCCACACATATGTAGCAATACAAGCCGTGTGAAGAGATTGCTTCAGATGAGCAAATACTGTCCAAGTCATCATTGACCTATATATAGCAGAGACAGGTCAGAAAAAAGAGATCCGCCATGAAACAACCACTTCTTCACTCATTCTTCATAAACAAACAGATGGTCTATTTTACTAGCTGATGTTTAGTTTCTAAGTATGTTCCAAGGATTCTCAAACCATCAGGGCTCAGCATGTTTGTTTTTTGCAAGCCAGAATGTTACGGTGCTGTAGTTTGAGGTTTACTAAAAGAAAACATCTTTATTTACACCAAGGCAGGGCACGGTATGAACGCACAAGCTGTTCTGCCGACTGGGACGGTCACAGAGGCCGTGTTAGGCAGGCACTGCACCTCAGTTCAAGTTCTAGATGCCCTGCCGGGTAAAATCTTGGAAGGACGTGGCGCACTAATGGAAAAGCAGAGCCAAACAAGTGCAAGTGCTTTCACTGTCCGTGAACCAGAGCCCTGGGACACTCAAACAAGATGGTCACAGTTAGAGTGAGAGACAATGAGGTTAGAGTTCATTTAGGTGAATCCATGTAGAGATGAACAATCCCAGTCAATCAATCTGATTAGCCTGTTCCGTTGGTATTGAGTTAGCAGTGTGGTATTAGGTTTTCATCCTTGTTTTTTCAGTCAAATTTTAGTGATTACTTTATTGTTACTCAAGTTGGTATCATGTAAGCATCATTTGTAATATTTATTATATTTTATATATTTTTATTATTATAGTTTTTTTTTTTTTTAATATTGTAATATTTTAATATGTTCCTTAGGACTTTGATTTGGACTTGTGAAATCACAGATGTTAAACTATAGTTTAGTTTGTTTCTCTTTTATCACGTGAAATCCCGTCAGTGCACACTGATGCAGGGCTGACACATTCCCTGTACGTTAATGTTTGTTTTTTCGTCAGTATGCTATCTTTGTTGCAGTCGTGCTGCATTTTAACAATAAAAAAAATTGCATCTGATTTATTTTTAATGTGCTTTTTGTTTCCACCGTTCCAGGGTTAACTAAACAGATTGAAGATGATGTCTGATGCCAGTGATATGTTGGCAGCTGCTTTGGAGCAAATGGATGGCATCATAGCAGGTACTATTAATAATTACACTATATGGCCAAACGTTTGTGGACACCTGACCATCACACCCAGATGTGCTTTTTGAACATCCCATTCCAGATTTAGTCCCCATTTGCAATTATAATAAGCTCCACTCTTCTGGGAAGGCTTTCCACTAGATTTTGGAGCATGGCTTTGGGGATTTGTGCTTACTCACCCACAAGAGCATTAGTGAGGTCAGTGCATCCTAGTGTTCCAGTGCAACCTAAAGATGTTCAGTGGGGTTGAGGTCAAGGCTCTGTGCAGGCCAGTCGAGTTCTTCCATTCCAACCTTGACACACCATGTCTTCTCACTTGGTGCACAGGGACATGGTCATGCTGGAACATGTTTGGGCTCGACTCCTTACTTTCAAGTACAAAGACATCCTATACAATTGTGTGGTGCAGTTTGGGGAAGGCCTACATATGGGTTTGATGGTCAGGTGTCCACAAACATTTGGCCATATAGTGTATTTTTATTATTATTATTATTGTAGTCACATAGTGCATTTCTTACACTTCACTCCAATACAATTCAAGACAAAGCAACTAACTAATACAAAATTTCCTTGTACAGGACTGATTTCAGTGCTATCCGAGAATTTTGTGATTTTTTTTTTTCCATTTTTGTTTGTGTGAATGACTGTAGTACAGTATCCACATTGGAATGAGAAACAGAACACCCTTTTTAAATGCTTTGACTATCATTATAGTGACATTTGAGTGTCCTTGATGAGCCTGAACTGGCTTATGAAGTAATGCGGGTTTTTACCCCTAGCTAATTATAAGGCTTTTGGGTCGCAGCCTGTCATATTAGATGATGCCCTGAGGTGTTGGTAACTGTAACCTTTATTCTGGTCCAATTCAGACTTTGCCCTGGCCTGTACCAGAAGTATAGCCCTCATTTGTTTTTGTTCCACAGCTTTAGATAATTGTATATGACTGATATCTTAGCAGGGCGGCATGGACGCGCAGAAGGTAGTATTGCTGTCTCGTAGCTCCAGGGTCCACGGTTTAATCAGCTCAGTTTACTGTTTGTGTGGAGTTTCACATGTTCTCCCTGTGTCTGCATGGGTTTCCTTTGGGTTCTTCAGTTTCCTCCCACTTCCCAAAACATGCTGGTTGGTGGATTGGCCACTGCAAATTGCCCCTAGTTGTTCCTATATGTGAATGAGTGTGTGCATGGTTCCCTGTGATGGACTGGTGTCCCATCCATGGTGTATACTTACCTCGTGCCCAGTGTTCCCGGGATAGGCTCTGGTTTATCGGTGACACTAATCAGGCAGTTGCTGGAGATCAATGAATAAACAGATGATGAGTCGTAAGCTGTAAGAGTATAATGCCTGACCTGACCAGTCACGTTGAAAATATTAATCTTTGCAAATAATTCTTGAATACATGGTGGGAATTACCATATTGTTTAAATGAAAAGAAAGGACAATATTCAGCTCGCCACACTATGAACCACCGTTTAACCTACATTGGTTTTCACCATTTAACCTTCATTGGTTGGTTCCTTCTTTATTGACAAGGTAATTTTTT